CATTGTGGAGCGTAGATGTGTTTTTATTAACTTCAGCTTGGAGAAGTTGCATTCTCCACTGGCAACTGTTACAAGAAGTGTTAGAAGTATGCGCAGAGCAACAAAAGCATTTGGAAAGAGGGTGGTCATCTTATTTGTGCACATATATTCCAGAACAGCCTTTGGAGTTGATCCTGCTGAAATGTATCTTGAAAGGGCTTTCAGTTCATCACCTAAATCACTCGCATTAATATCGCGCATGTCATCATGTGTCAACACTGTCTCTAGTGCCCTGTATTGCTGGTGTAGGTCTTCTTCAGGTATAGTGAGGAGTTTTGGAATATCGTACAACATCCTAAATATACTGCTGTGTTCCTTGAGCTGCATGAAACGTTCTTCAGCTGACTGTATTACACAATCTAGCACCTGGTTAAAGAATTCAACTTTGAATTGTTGTTTGGGGTCTCTTATGTGATTATCCCGTGCCTCGTAATCAAAATGTCGTCTTCTTTGGTGACTCTTGTATTCTTGAATGGGTGGGAAAATAGCTTCAGTATGAAGTTCCTCTGCCAACTTCTGTGCACTCTTCAGAACGTTTTGAAATCCCTCATCTGACCAGTTAGACTGTAGGTATGACTTTGCTTTGTCCAGTTGCTCCATTGTTCCAGATATATCAAGGTCAACATCTTGGAGTCTCTTGCTTACAACATTTATTTCAAACAGTATGTCATGCCACAACACTAAGCCACACAGAAATGTGAAGTTATGTATGTTTCTGGTGATTCTGTTTCCCTCTGCCACTGTTCTCCCACAAAAAGTTCCTGTCATAGCATTATCCTCCATAATGGCAACTATGGCATCATCTATCGTCCCAATTTGGTGTTTGATAGGCTTTATCACCTCCACTCGACTTTCCCATCGTATGGCACTCAGTGGTTTCAGTGTCAGAGCGGATGTTCCCAGATGTTGCCTCAAAATTTGCCATTGATGAGTTGATGCAGAGAAAAATACATAGATGCTTTGAATTACATTAAAAAATTCAGCAGCTTCACTAGAAGCTGATGCTGCATCACTGACCACTAAATTCAATGAATGAGAACTGCATGGGACAAAAAAAAGCTTGAGGGTTTAACTCTCGGATCCTGTCTGCACTTCTCTGTTCTTTCCTTTCATGTCGGCACCGTTATCGTAGCCCTGACCTCTCATGTCAGCTATCGCAATTCCCGTCTCTTCCAGCTTTCTAAGAAGCACTTTTGTCATACTACAGGAGCTGGTATCATCAATATCAATAAATTCTAGAAAATGCTCTCTGACAGTCACCATTGCAGGGACATTTTCACTAGGTTCTGTTGTTGTTACAAAACGCACCATTAAAGTCATTTGTTCCATATGGCTGATGTTAGGTGTGCAGTCCAGAATAACAGAGTAATATCTTGCTGACTTCAGATCTGCCACAATCTTCTGTTTGACTTTTGTTGCCACGAACTGTATGATCTCCTTTTGAATTGTTTTTCCAAGGTAGTGGTGTGTGTACATTCCTTGGGTAGTGACTCTTCTTAGATGCTCCTGGAGTACAGCATCAAACTCAGCCATCAGCTTCACAATTTTAAGGAAGTTTCCATTGTTTGACACATACAGCTGATCTGAAGTGCCACGCAGTGCTGGGTTTTGGGTAGCAAGCATTCTTACAATGGGAATGAGCCTTTTCAGAACATTTTGCCAGTAAAGAGACTGTTGCAATCTTCTCTTGATGCTGATCATCTATGGTGGCCTTTAACCTTAGTCTCATTTCAAGCTCTTTTCAACTATGGAATGCTCTCTGGTGATTTGCTGCCTTCTCATGGCATGCCAGATTTCTAGCCAGATTTTTCTAGTCCTTTGTTCTTGTAGAACCCCAATGTGGCTGGAACATTAGACTGGAAGAGTTTGCAACAAAAACAGTATGCAGCATTCTGGATTTTTGAGTACATAAGCCATGGCCTTTCCACTTTGTCACCATTGGGGATTTCACGCCAGTAATGTGTTGGATGGAAACTTCTATTTTCATTGTCTTTGGGGAACATGAAGTTTTTCACTTGCTGTGGCCCATGCAGTACAAGGAAGTCCCTCAGGCTACTGCTCAAGTGGGTCCACAGTCCTGGATCTTCTAGACTTAAGGAACTAAACTCAGCAGCAGCTGTTTCTTGCGCCTCTACACACTCTGCTCTGATTTACACTTTTCTTCAGGAATGTGCATGGTTACATCCATTTGAGATGGAGATATGAATGCTGCAGTAGCTGCCAGGTCACCTGCACTCTGACTACCTGGAAGATCAGGCATCTCCTCACCACTCACATCCTCACTGGGGCCGGAAGGCTCACCGTGAACATTTGTGTCTATGTATCTCAGGAGAGCTCCTTCCTGCTTAGATAGAAAAGCTTCCTTTGCTTTTTCTTTTTCTGAATGCTGCCCCAGAGGGGCGTTTTCTTCTTTCACTCATGACTGCTGTTCTGTGCCAGCTATAGTGGCTCTCAACACTCAATTGAAGGGGACAAATAAGCAGGCTGGTAGCAGGGCCTGAGTGAGGGAAGATAACAGCGCCTTAAGGGCCTAACTGGCTCCTGCTACTTCAGTTGACTGCCTGTTCTCCTCAAGTGGGCTCAGGGAAGCAGCAGGAAACAGGAAGCTCCCTGAGAAGCTGGTGTTAATCAGTCCAGGCTCCTGGGGGTGCTAGAGAGTTACATAAGAGGCTCCTCCTTCTCTCTCTCCCTGCAGTTCCTGCTGCTTTCTGTTATTCCCTCTCACCTTTTCTCCTGCCTGCCTATTATGTCTCTTGTGCCCTCCTTCCTCCAGCACAGCACGCCACCATCTCTGTGCATCTAGAGCAGAAAGAATACATATGCAGCAGCAGCAGACATAATTTTCTACACTCTGGGTCCTAGTGGCGCCCCCCAGAGTCTGGCACCTGAGATGGCTGCCTCAGTTTGCCTCATGCTAAGGCCAGCCCTGGGGGAAGTATTGGGAAGATTGCTCAAAGTGCTACCTGTGTGCTATTATGATATAGAGATCAAATTAATACATTCCAGCATTGTTTGAGTTTATAACATGGCTTTGAGACTTTTAAATTGTTGAAAATTGAAATTAGTTTTAGCACAACTACCATTAGAATGTATAGAAACTAATGTGGTTGGTCTAAGTCAGTGGTCCCCAACCTTTTCCGTGGGGTGGGCGCCAGACGACTAGCCGCCGAGGACTGTGGCTGCCGGACAACAGCCGCCGAAATGCCGCCGTGAAGCGGCGTCATCCAGAGGCACCGCTGCCGAAATGCCACCGAAATTCGGCGGTAGCGCTTCTTGACATTGCCGCTTCTCGGCAGCATTTCAGCGGCTGCTTTTCCTGCGGCCAGTAGGCGGGCGCACATGGATGCCCCGGTGGGTGCCATGGCGCTCGCGGGCACCTGTTGGGGACCCCTGCTCTAAGTAAAGGGGCTTAGGTTAAGATACTGACTCTGAGAAAGTGACTAAAGTAAAATTCCTAGTAGAATCTCCCTAATGGATGGACCTCTTGGAAATAAAAATGCCAATAAAGCACTTGTGTTCAATAAGCAAAATATACAAAATGTTCTCTTTATGTATTTATATGTTTAAAGTAACAACATATTTGAGGCTAGTAGACTTCTAAGAGCCACTTGCCTGGCAAATATAGCTTCTACCTGTGTGGCTGTATAGTAGGTTATGTGATGACAATAACAACAATAAATCAAATCCAGTATTTGTGCTGTGGGTGACTTGTTTACTGGGTTTTTTGTTTTTGTTTTTTAAATCATAGAGTTAATCACACTGCCCACTTTTGTATTTAATAGTGTCAGGAGAGGGAAAGATGGTCTTGTGGCTAAGGCACTGAACTGGGATTGAAAATCTACTTTCAGTGACCAGCTTTGCCACGACTTCACCAAGATTACACAGGAAGTCTATTGATCTCTCTGCATCCGCTCTCCATCTGTAAAATAGAGAGGTGCTTACAGAGGTGTTGTGAAGATAATTTTTTGTGAGGTGCTCTGCTATATGTATTTCTCACTGCTATAAGTACCTAGACAATTCTATATAGCAGTTTAGTGCGTTTTTTTTAAAAAAACCCAACTCTATAATTCCTGAAGGACCCATTAACATGGGAAATTTAGGGAAAAAATATTTTTGCTGGAGACAACTCTTATTTTCTGTATCTTTCTTTTCCCCTCCCCCTTTTTTTGTTTAAAAATAAACATCTTGCAGGAAACCAGTTTTTTTTTTATTTTATTTTAGATGTCCTATTCCTCTCATGAAGTCAGTGTTCTGTGTGACAGTGGTATTATGATTTTTATGATAAGTGAAGAGTAAGCATCAGGTACAGAAGCTCTTGTTAAAACAGTTCTTAATTGGGATTAAACTGGCTTACATTGTTTAGCACTCAATTCTGTTACCCTTAGTGAGGTTGTACCTTGCTCCCTGAGTAGTCCCATGATACTGTTGAATCTGAATAAGCATGGCACAGTTGAGTCTTAAGTGAGCTGGGCTCTTTATGACTGACAGGAAACTGAAGACCTGTGAGAAAATAGATTTTTTCCCCCCTTTTGCAACATTAGCTACAACTAGGGACTGTAGAACATTCACTGTTAAGGATCCTAGCACACTAACACTAATAAATAATAAAATAAAGCTGTTTACAACATAAAATGTAGTCTGCCAACTTCTGTCCTTAGGTTGGACTAAATAATTCTTTGTTATCTTTAATTCTATATAGATTTGACATAAAACATTATGTCCTAAAGGTGTTCTTAATTATGCATAAAGCATTTTGGACACCTTCCAGGTTAAATGGGGCTCTGCTTGTGTAAATTCAGAGCTGTGTATCTATTGAATGTTTTCCATAAGGTGGCTGTGGGCCTTTAAGAAGGGATACTGTAAATAAATTGCCACCTGAAGACTAACGGGTACAATAAATAAGATCCCATGGTGCTGTGCTCCAGAAAAATCCATTTAATTGAATGCCTTCTCTCTTACAGACCAGCAATCACCTCCTTGGACCAAAGCCATTCCCCCTGGACAGATTGTTAGCAATATTATACAGTATTGTGGACAACAAAGTTGCTCCAACTGCAAATATATTTTCCCAGGTGAGTACAGATTTATTTGTGGGGTTTTTTTGTATTTTTAAATTGCCTGGAACTTCTGAGAGAACACAGTAAATCTTTTCAGAAGTAATCATAAGCTTGGGATGTTTTGACTTTGTAGTATAGTTAATCCTCTGGTAAAAAGTGCTTTCTGTCATCTAATGAGAAATGAGCTATATGTCTGCAGTTTAAACCTAAGATTCTGGGGAAAAAAATTCTTTATCAATTATGAATTAAAAATTGTATCTCTATAATGCTCTGAAACATTTTAATTGCTAACTTCCTGAATTCTGGAATGTGATCTGCACTGGTGGGTCTCTGTGCCAGCACGGATCCAGTTGAAGTCAATTAGATTACTCGCATGCTTAAAGTTAAGTACATATGTAAGTGTTTGGAGGATCATGACAGTCAAAAGAAAAAAAGTCCCATTCAATTACATCATGTAATGGCAGACAGCTAAAAAGTGACAAGTTTTTAAAGTGCTTATATACCAATGCTAGAAGTCTAAATAATAAGATGGGAAAACTAGAGTGCCTATTATTAAATGAGGATATTGATATAATAAGCATCACAGAAACTTGGTAGAATGAGGATAATCAATGGGACACAGTAATACCAGAGTACAAAATATATTGGAAGGACACAACAGGTCATGCTGGTGGGGGAGTGGCACTATATGTGAAAGAAAGCTTAGAATCAAATGAAGTAAAAATGAACCAAACTGTACCATAGAATCTCTATGGATAGTAATTCCATGCTTGAATAATAAGAATATAGCAGTAGGGATATATTACAGATCACCTGACCAGGATGGTGATAGTAACTGTGAAATGCTCAGGGAGATGAGATGTTATTAAAATAAAAAACTGAATAATAATTGGGGATTTCAGCTATCCCCATATTGACTGGGTACATGTCACCTCAGGAAGCGATGCAGAGATATTTCTTGACACCTTAAATGACTGCTTCTTGGAGCAGCTAGTCCTGGAACCCACAAGAGGAGAGGCAATTCTTGATTTAGTCCTAAGTGGAGCACAGTATCAGGTCCAAGAGGTGAATATAGCTGGACCACTTGGTAATAGTGACCATAATATAATTAAATTTAACGTCCCTGTGGCAGGGAAAACACCACAGCGGCCCAACACTGTAGCATTTAATTTTAGAAAGGGGAATTACACAGAAATGAGGAGGTTAGTTAAACAGAAATTAAAAGGTATAGCACCAAAAGTAAAATCCCTCCAAGCTGCATGGAAACTTTTTAAAGACACCATAATAGAGGCTCAACTTAAATGTATATCCCAAATTAAAAAACATAGTAAGAGAACCAAAAAAGCCACCGTGGCTAAACAACAAAGTAAAAGAAGCTGTAAGAGGCAAAAAGGTATCCTTTAAAAAGGGGAAGTTAAATCCTAATGAGGAAAATAGAAAGGAGCATAAAATCTGGCAAATGAAGTGTAAAAATATAATTAGGAAGGCCAAAAAAGAATTTGAAGAACAGCTAGCTAAAGACTAAAAAGTAATATCAAAAAATGTTTTAAGTATATCAGAAGCAGGAAGCCTGCTAAACAACCAGTGGGGCCACTGGACGATTGAGAGGCTAAAGAAGCACTCAAGGATAAGGCCATTGCGGAGAAACTAAATGAATTCTTTGCATCGGTCTTCACTGTTTAGGATGTGAGGGAGATTCCCAAACCTGAGCCATTTTATTTAGATGACAAATCTGAGGAATTGTCCTAGATTGAGGTGTCATTAGAGGAGGTTTTGGAACAAACTGATAAACTAAACAGTAATAAGTCACTAGGACCAGATGTTATTCACGCAAGAATTCTGAAGGAACTCAAATGTGAAATTGCAGGACGGCTAACTGTCGTCTGTAACCTATCGTTTAAATCGGCTTCTGTACCAAATGACTGGAGGATAGCTAATGTGACCCCGATTTTTAAAATGGGCTCCAGAGGTGACCCGGGCAATTACAGGCCGGTAAGCCTGACTTCAGTACCTGGCAAACTGTAGTAAAGAACAAAATTGTCAGACACATAGATGAACATAATTTGTTGGGGAATAGTCAACATGGTTTTTGTAAAGGGAAATCATGCCTCACCAATCTACTAGAATTCTTTGAGGGGGTCAACAAGCATGTGGACAAGGGGGATCCAGTGGATGTAGTGTATTTATATTTTCAGAAAGCCTTTGACAAGGTCCCTCACCAAAGGCTATTCAGTAAAGTAAGCCGTCAGTGGATAAGAGGGAAGGTTCTCTCATGGATTGGTAACTGGTTAAAAGATAGGAAACAAAGAGAAGGAATAAATGGTCAGTTTTCAGTATGGCGAGAGATAAATAGTGGTGTCCCCTAGGGGTCTGTAGTGGGCCCAGTCCTATTCAACATATTCATAAATGATCTGGAAAAAGGGGTAAACAGTGAGGTGGCAAAATTTGCAGATGATACAAAACTACTCAAGATAGTTAAGTCCCAGGCAGACTGCGAAGAGCTACAAAAGGATCTCTCAAAAATGGGTGACTGGGCAACAAAATGGCAGATAAAATTCAGTGTTGATAAATGCACAATAATGCACATTGGAAAACATAATGCCAATTATACATATAAAATGATGGGGTCTAAATTAGCTGTTACCACTTAAGAAAGAGATCTTGGAGTCATTGTGGATAGTTCTCTGAAAACATCCGATCAAGGTGCAGCAGCAGTCAAAAAAGCAAACAGAATCTTGAGAATCATTAAGAAAGGGATAAATAATAACACAGAAAATATCATATTGCCTCTGTATAAATCCATGGTACGCCTACATCTTGAATACTGTGTGCAGATGTGGTCGCCACATCTCAAAAAAGATATATTGGAATTGGAAAAGGTTCAGAAAAGAGGAACAAAAATAATTAGGGGTATGGAACGGCTGCTGTATGAGGAGAGAGTGATAAGACTGTGACTTTTCAGCTTGGAAAAGAGACGACTAAGGGGGGATATGATAGAGATCTATAAAATCATGACTGGTGTGGAGAAAGTAAATAAGGACGTGTTATTTACTCCTTCTCATAACACAAGAACTGGGGGCCACCAAATGAAATTAATAGGCAGCAGGTTTAAAACAACAAAAGGAAGCATTTCCACAATGCACTGTCAACCTGTGGAACTCCTTGCCAGAGGATGTTGTGAAGGCCAAGACTATAACAGAGTTCAAAAAAGAACTAGGTAAGTTCCTGGAGGATAGGTCCATCAATGGCTATTAGCCAGGATGAGCAGGGATGATGTCACTCGCCTTTGTTTCCCAGAAGCTGGGAATGGGCGACAGGGGATGGATCACTTGATGATTACCTGTTCTGTTAATTCCCTCTGGGACACCTGGCATTGGCCACTGTCGGAAGACAGGATACTGGGCTAGATGGACCTTTGGTCTGACCCAGTATGGCTGTTCTTATGTTCTTAAATTAAGGCATCCTTTACTGTATTCCAGCAATGGGTAATGGTCCACAAAAGGTATGGAGAAAGGTATGGGTTCCAGCAGTGAAAGAGCACACAAGATGTGTGTTGTGATATGCACTTCTTTTTATCTAGGCTTCTTTTCGATGGAACCTTATTGATTATCTTTATCAAATACTATCTTCAAATACCTGTTTTTAACTATCCTAAATACTTAATGAAATAACATTTCAGTAGATGGCAGTATAACTACAGGATATGGTGAACAAACAAACCTACAGTTTTCATTAGCTAGCAATTTGGATTTATCAAGCAGCAATAGCTGCTTCATTGTTAAATATGAAACTAGATTCATATTATAAACCTGATTCTCAACAGTCTGACCTTAACCTTTGAGAATACCTATAAACCTCTAATACTTTCCTGCTTTCCTCTTTTATTCCTCTAAGTTGCCTCTTATCATTTGCTTTCAAAAACTGATTTTCCCTGTGCCTTTTTCGTTTGATTGAGCCACAGCTGCATCTTTTGGGGAATAAAGTTCTAATATGCTTAATTATATTTAGATTTTTACATCCTTCTTAAAAAAAAAACACACCAAAAGGAACACTTAAGATATCCCTGCTGTCATATAACCCTTCTTCAATATTAGACATACAATTTGTACATAGCGTATTTCCCTCCCTAGCTATCTAAGGTATGTTACAGGATAAACATTTAAAAAACAAACACATCATGCTAATTTAAAATGTACACTAGATGGCACTGTTGTCAAATTATATATTTAATAGTTAACATTTTCCTCTTAAATATATGTAGATTAAACTTTAAAAAACTGCAATAAATAACAAGGTTGTAATAAACATCCAACAACCAAGAGAAGTCTAAAGATAAGGATTGTCAATCAATCTTGAGCTTGAATTTTATGGATTTTCACTGATTGTGATATCTTTTATTACATTAGATTTTCAATTAAATAAGAAGATTTTTCTTCAAGTTTCTAACTGGAATAATATCAAATATGTTTTAACAGAATAAAATTTAAATTTTAAAATCAGAATTTAAGATAGGTTGAACAAGTTTTTATTGTTTTTAAGCATTTATAAGACTATTTTTATATTTCACTAATCACATTGTAAGCCTTTTCTCATTAAAGGTTTTATTCAAATTAAAATAAAGTCTTGAACTGTATAATTCTTACAAAATCTGGCTATTTTGCTAGTCTGTATATATGAAACTTTGTGGAATCCACAGACAAGAAGCTATATGAAAATCAGTACTGTACACTGTTTTAAAAATGTTTTTCGAAGTAATAGTTGGCTTTTAGTTTGTTCAACAGTATTTTATTTTATCTACTTTGTGATCCACAGAGGAAAAGCTCTATATTAGAGCCACTTGTTATAGTTAAGTACAGTGTCACCATGAATTTTCAAAAACACAAGCCCATCTCATCTCTAAATTTTAGTAACTTTCAGCAGAAAATGTTAATCACTAATAAAGGCTGCTATAAGATCTAGAATGTCGTTGATAATGTCTTGCTTCTCTCATTTCTGTGCCAAATTTCTATCCATGC